CTCGAGCCATGGGGTGCGTGAGCGCATCCTCGTACCATACCATTGCGCTTTCAAAATGGAATACATGACCTCGTTTCCACGTGAAGACAGTTTCGTTGTCGTCTTCATCGGTAGCAGACGGCCGCGAAAGTGAAAGGTAGATGTACCAAAATGACTCCGGTTTGAAGTTCTTTAGCTTGTTGTATCGAGCAACAACAAATCCCAGAGTCGGAAATTGGCACGGTCCTGAGGTACAATTTAACTTCATGGTGACACGAGGCGCGTGAGGCGCATACCGTAGGATATCAGTTCCCGCGCTAAAGCCTCGAGGCGATTCTGCAGATTGAGGGTCTGGAGTCGGGTGAATGCAGAGCCAATTCGCAGATCCAAAAGGATGCGCGTTTCCACTGCATTGGCTTGTGCCATGTCCAGCTGCACTGGGTTCTGCGCCGCATTATGAATTTGCCTGACAAAGTTGAGCTGCGAAAGCACACAGAGCAGATACTTGGCATACATACTGTGCGATAATAGCACTAAACCTCGCTCGTCTCACGGAAATAGTGGGATTGGCCTTCCGACATATCTTCATGATCTCTGCACCGATATTCTCGCCCTCGCGGTCACAGTCCGTCCAAATCATAAGCATTTGCGCTTTTCGCGCTTCGGTCTTCAGATTCTCGGCAATTGTTTTGGCATCTTCTTTAACCTTGCACTCGACAGGGGCTTCGAACAGCGCAAAGGGATCGCATGAGGTCCATTTAGAATACATGATGTTGAAGTCATGCTCCATAACGTGGCCAGTGACGGACGTCACCGTATAGACAGAGTTGGTCTGAGGGTAATTGAAGTCATAGTTCTTTATGTACTTGTTTTTACTGTTCCTCTGGGTCACAGTAAGCACTACTCTCGAGGCAACCAAAGGCACGTACCGTGGTGAACTGTCCGCCCGACAAAATCTGAGTGATGGACTTGGAAATGGATGGTTTTTCCGCAACACAAAGTACCCGCATCGACTCTCCCAAAGGCAAGCGTGTTTGAATTGAGGTATAGTTGCAAAATATTATACTCTTGCAAAGCACGCCGTTGAAGAGTGGTCGCCTGGGGTATCTAGATAACACAAGTATTCTCAGAATTGTGGCGAAAGATTGTCTGACTCCGTCCAGTCGCGAAACTCAGGAAGGTATGCGTCCAAAGGAGTTAAGTGCAATATGTCAGAGGAGGAAGGGCAAGAATATATGGCAGTGATGGCAAGAGGAGAGATCAGCATCCAGTTCAAAACTGAGGTTGATGGACGCGTTCAACGCGTCCTCAGGTTTGGTCGCGTCGCGTTTCCACGTGACTACACCGTGATGCATTCAAGCGCTGCTCATGACCAGTGCTTTGGACTGAGCCACAATACTAGGCTCCGTCAGTCGACGAAAGTGCTCGCTACGCCGGCAGACAAGCGTCATGCTAGTTTTCGGGCCGGAGACTGTAACGTTGACATAATCATGCAAGAGCGATATGTACAGGAGGATAACGGCGCGATAAGTCAAGCTGTCTATATTCTAGGTTCTTCCCGCCAAGGTTCTTGACCCTATCGTAGCTGACCTCGTCGATTAACAACAGTCGGTTGAGTGCCGTTGCGCGTGACAGCGCGACGAATGTCAAGCCCGTGCAGAACTCCCGGCTACCGAGACCGATGCGAACGAGATCTAGCGTCAGTCCCTGCGATTTATGTACAGTGACAGCCCATGCAAGTCGTAGAGGCAGCTGTGTACGCGCGAGTGTCTTCGTTCGGTGTTCGAAAGTAGCCTTGAGGGGTGTAATCGGCATAATTGGGATGCCACTTGGGTGAGACGGTGTGGGCGCGGTTCTTGTTCACTGAGTGGGCGCCAAGGCTCAGTTGGGCGCTAACGCACTCAAATGTGGCGAGAACTCGATGCCCTGTCTATCTCGACGAGAAATCGTCGAACGGGGCTCAAACCTTCCATAGACGTAGGGGTGTTGCTTAATGGCCAGTATGTGAACTTCTAGCGGGATACGAGCATATTTGAGCGTACCACGAGCGAAAGTCAAATTGTGGCTGCTCAGATTTGCGAAACGTGGATTTGTACATGTTTGTTCCCCGCGAAGACGATTTCTCTATCCCCTAGACACTGAATTGCTCGCTTCGCTCGCAATCATTATTCCAAGCAAGTTGAGAAGTACCAAAATTTATTGTGTTGTCGTCAAGTAAGCTGGGCAATATTTTATCATGTTGTTGCCATTCACATATGTGTATATGTCCTTGTCGCGACACAGTCCGTAATGACATACAACATACACGAAGGCTACGACCCTCTTTTGATTAACTCTGCCGCACCCTCCGTGCCAGCGATTCTCTCGAGCCTCATCCAATCGTATTTGGAATACAGAACACGAGAAATGACGTCGGACGCGTCCACACCGTCGTCCAGGAAAGGATACGAGAGATACTCCGTATAAAACTGAGGATGGTCAGGCGGCCCATAGAATATGAGGTTCCGGATACCACGAATTTTGTATCTTTGGGGCATGATTAGCACAAACCCAGATGAGAGAGATGAACGCAAATTGCCTTCTGAAGAAGTGGAAACGCTCGCTGACGAGCAAGAACGCGCTCTTCCCAGCGAAGAATGCCTGGCGGGCTCGCGAGATATCCTGATTGGATGAGTACCTATACCAGATGAGGGATCACCTCGGATGTTCAGCCAATACAACGAAGTAAACTTACTCCGACAGTACTGTAAAAGAGACGCCGATGTTCTTTCTGAAGTGATTGTGTACCCGGATGAAGTCGAGCGAAGAAGGGACAAAGATGACTGTATTGGCGCTTTGAACGGCAGATTTGAGGATAGCAGGCAATAACTGTGATGACACGAATTAGTACGCGAGCAGATGCTTTATCAAAGGCCCATACCTGTGTGGCGAAGTATTGGAATCGTCTTTCGGGCTCATCCTTCGGATTACTAGAATCAAACTGAACGAATTGCTGTCTGCGTGTGAACAATCTATACAGCCGACAACACATGGAACGCATTTACCTGATCTATGCCTTCTGGTACCTCCACAGGCGACCATCTCCTCTCCGTACGAATCCTTCCGGCAACATTCTTGAGAGAGTGATTGAACAGCGCGCGACTTTCAGGTGTCTCGTATGCCGACAGAAGAACGGTCTGGCGAAGATACGCGGAGCTATTAATGGATATATTTTCAGCTTATACTTGGGTTCGGGCGATTATACCTACTGTCCGTCCAGGTACCAGGGCTTAATACGAGAGAAGTCAACGTCGTGCGACTCCTTCGGCAATTGGTTGAGATGGCTGAAAATGAACTTCGAGCAGAGTCTCAGTTTGGCCATCCTTGTGAGACTCGAGGAGAAACGTACCTGTACGTGATCCCAGTTTTGCATTCCGAGTGCGTCCATCTGGTCCACGATGAGGACTTCAATAGACGAGAGAAAATCAGCGTTCCTGCACAGGGCCGGTATGAGTACTGCCCAGTAGGTGAGATGGTATTGATATGCATACTTTTCTTTCTCGATCGACATCCTCAGCCCGAGTGGGCTCGCGATAATCAAGTCGCACCCGTAGAACTCCGCGAACAACTTGACGCTTTTTCGTGTCATTTTCACGCCCAGTCGGAAACTATCGTCCACGTTCCCCTTGAACATCTCTATATGGTCTCGCGGATATGTACCAGGCTCGGCGTGCTCGAGCTTGTCGACAGCCCCGGGAGGCAAACCATACTCAGACTGGAAGCGCGAGTGGTTCTCAACCTGATAGTCCGGCGTAGGCGTATGTGTGGTGAGCGCGGATACCCATCGTAAAGCGAAAGAGCGGAAAGGAAGGAGAATGAGTACAGATGGTCGTGTAAAGCCCTGGTCTTGTACGTCTTCCGGCGGAGGGTTGCCCGCCTTGGTCGCATGGGAGATGCGCTCATTGTTCTTGAGAACTCGACGGCGTTTCCTACCAAGAAGGGTGAGAACAAGCAGATCACGAGAGGGAGCGGCGAGCGTACTTGGTGATATGATTGAGCGCATGAAGAGTAAGGGCTTCGCGCACACTCGACTGGGTCTCCAGCGCCGTACGGGTGAGGTACAAGTCACGGTAAGAAGAAAGAGTGTTAAGAAGGTCCTTTTGCAATTCAACGATTTCTGTGCATATTATCAATGACACTAGCGTAGCAGAACCCAGCGCGTGCACGCACCTCGGGGTAGTGTGGCTTGTCTCGCCTCCAGAGGTGCCCGGAGCTTTTCCTGAATCTGCACGCATGTCAGCTTCATGGCCACATAAATGCAGGCCAATCACACCTGATGCCTCGCGGAAAGGGCGCTGTTCAAGTCCGCACCCTCCGGCACCGCTTCCACAACACCACCGAGTTTCCCTAATTTAATCCGCTGCGAACTCCACGCCCTGGTATCCACAGCTTTGCGCGCCGAGTCAGTCAGCCCAATGGGCTGAAGGCCAAAGTGAGCTTCGTATAGATCCAGGCCCTCGCCTGCGAGACGTTGGGAAACATGTGTAAGATAATGCGCGTTTGACCGATCTACGCACGCACCACTATCCTCCTCCTCAACACCGGGCGCGCCCTCCTCCTGCTCCATCTCTGGTGCACTACTCTTGTTGTGCGACTCCCTCGAGCTTTGAAATCCTTTTTCGGTAGCATCATCGAGTAAGGCAATTTGCACCGCGCGTTTCTTGTTCAACTTCGGAGAAGGCTTGTGCTCCTCAAAGGTACGTTTCCGTTTGCCAGCCTTCGTAGCGGATACATTCAGAAGAGTCAGAAGACGCGTCGTCGTAGAATTTGGGTCGTCTACAGCCATAGTGAGTGATGTGGGGAGCAGGCAGACAAACGAAGTGGGTCAGTGTCGCAAGAGTTCTGAAGCAAATATTAACTCGAGAGAAGAGTCGAAGACCGCTTAAATCCAATGATCGAGATCTGAAAGGAAGATCTTGCTACCGACAGCTCCAAGGCACGCCAAACGATATCTATATCCACAGAGAAGGCAAGACGCACATGGGTCGGTGGCGTAGTTGGTTATCGCATCTGTCTAACACCGGAAAAGCGCATGTACACAGAAGGTCCTCAGTTCGATCCTGGGCCGACTCATCTTTTGTTGTTCAAAACCCTTATGCACTATTTTGGCTGCATAATACTTGAAGACGTATCCACTGCAAGCTTTATATCTAGTTATACATAGTGCTCATTCTAGTGTGGCTTACCATCTGAGCAATAAGCCTACCTTTCGGAGTACTGGTGAACGTCATGCTACTTACACCCTGAGCATGAGCAAGCGTTATCCCGTATGCCACATACCAAGGTGGACCCATGACGAGATGAACATCGAAGATGGCATTACGAGTCTTTACAAAGGCGATACTAAAAATGCTAGGGTATTGAGGGCAAACGCACTGCAGTTAAGTCCGAAGATCGATGGAGATACAAGATGTATGGGTGCTGTACTAGAGGAATTGCGCGTACTAGAGTGAAAGGGATTGGGCCGTCATATGCGACTCTATGCCAAGGGGTATGTGGTCCGCAGCAACGAACGGTACGCGTGTGTATGGTCTGTGCGAAAAGCGATGATGGTAGTACGGTAAGAAGGTCCGTGTGTTGTCCGTGAGTGTCCAATTTCTCCTCGTACACCTACAGGAGAGCAGCGAACAAGGACGCTGAGAGCACCCCAGACACGAGCGGCGCGACGTAGGACTGGAACGACGCGCGCACCGCTGAGTTCTGGTGACTCTGTCCGTCGTGCTGCGAAGAAGACCCGTTCCCGGCACCGTCTTGCGCCGGAGGAGCGATCCCCGCGACGGGGAGGTCCACTGCCTTGGTCGTGGGCTGCTCCCCCACCTGGCCAGTGCCAACCATGACTTGGACGCCGACGGAAGGCACCCCGTTCACAACCACGAAGAGGACTTGATCGTGGAGTTAGATTTGGTTCGACAGAAAATGCAACAGGTAACTCACAAGCCGGGCCAGGAGCGAACAGAGCGGCGTTGGGGGGAACCTGGCTGACGTGGAGTACCGCACTACCGTCGGGGTTGCCGGTGTAGGTCGAGTTGAGTTGCAGGAACCGCTGGCCCATGTTCTACCCGCCCAAAAGTTCAGCATCTGAGTGCTTTGTGCTCCTCGGAAATTGCTTACCATGGTGTGCGTAGAGAATCCGGTGCGGAGAAGGATGACGGTCGTCTCCTTGACGTTGTTTACGTCGCCAGCCAGGTCCTCCTTCGTGAGCGTGACGTTGAAGTACGGTCCACCATACGACAGCTGAGTAAGGAGACCCTGTGGCTGCGGGCGGTGCGAGTTGAAGTACGAAGGGTAGAAGTATTCGACGCGATATTCGGTCTTGAACTTGACATTGTCTACCGTGTAGTCCGCGTGGGGGTTCGAGCCAGACACCAGCACGGAACCTGGCGGTCTCGAATCAGTAGCGATATACAGCAAGTCTCAAGGTGCTCTTACCATCAGGAAGAAGCGTGGCGCCGGAATGGTACATGCGCGGGATGGTGCTCGCTGTCAAACCCTCCCGTGACCACCGGGCACCCGCAGGCGCAGTAGGGTCGTAGATGGCGGGCGCGAGAACAGCGTTGTCCGCGTACGACTCGCCAACCGTCCAGTCCTGAGGGCCATACCCAGCAACGCCAGTTGCCGCGCCGTTCAAACATAGGATCTTGCCGTTGGGAAGGAGGATGAAGTTGCCCATGGAGCGGCCCTCGGGTAGGGGGTCCTCCTTCACGTACTGGGTCGACACATCAGGGGTGATGCTCACGCAAGACGTGGAGGCCTTGTACTGAGCGATATCCCAGTCCGTCGTCCACCTAACGAACGTGTAAGTACATGGTGATCAATATCTGTCTATTAACTGACCTGTCGGGCTGCAGGTCATTCCCACCGCAGAACATGATGGTGGCTGTGTAGCCGTTCGCCGGCGTGAGCGGGAGCATCGCGGTCCCCCCGCTTGCGGGGTACACCCGGACCGCCTCGATCATGTCGTCGATCGCCGTCTCCTTCTGGTTCTTAAAGTCCAGGAATGCCGTCTTCCAGTTCGACTGAATGAGCAGCTTCCCAGACGGGAGAAGCCATGTCAGCGGAAAGAGGTTGGCCGGGAGCGAGTTTGTCAGGATGTCCAGCTTCACTGGGTCGCCGTTGGCCTTGGGCGGGAAGAACTCGTACGTCGGGTTGTTCTGGTTCGCGTCGTTCACGAATCCGCCCCACTCAGCACCGCCAATCTGCAAGACCTGTCTCAGCGTGTATCCCATAGCCATCACAGGCGCTGCTCACGATGATGATCGAACCGTCGTCCAGGGTCTCGCTGTCGACTCAGTCAGCATGCGCTCCCGCTTGTCGTTCAGGTGCACTTACAGCGTGGGATACCACCGCCGAGTGGTCATCTGCCCAAACAGGTTCCACTCGCAGTTGCCATCGTCGCATGGTGTCAGCATACTGTCCGCAGCGCATCAGCATGGCTTGCATGTAACCAAGTGCTATATTTACCGCATCCTGCGCGGGACAAGTAAGCAAGAGTACGCGCATACGAGGACGAAGCGGCGCGTACGATTTTCCGCCGTCTGGGTCCTGGTACGGCTGACCACCGGTCACTTGGCTGTCTGCGGTGGCTCCGCCCGTCGTCACGGCCATGTTTCCACCAACGTTGATCCACGTTCCGTTCGCTAGCACATTACCTCCCTGTAGCACGTGTCACTCTCCGCCCTGAATCAAGCGGTAAGCGGAGGCACATACCGCACAGAACGTGTTCGTGATAATGTCCATCGTGCGGCCGCCCTTTTTGCTGACCGAGAACTCTGCAGGGAGTCGTGTCAGGGACAGTCGCCAGAGAGATACGGTGGACGTACCGGACGCCCAAGCGGGATGACCGTTCACAGTGGCAGGGTTGGCCTCCGTCTTGTCGATGATGTACACCTTGTCTGCCGTGCCCAGAAACATCTGCGCGGGATGAGCCGTCGCCCCACAAACGCGACAAAGGACGTACCTGCTGCGCGCTGACCATGCTGTCGCCGACGATCTCAAACGCCCCGAGCGGCGCATCGTTGCGGGCGGGCTGCCCTGGTGTGGGTGCGGTAGTTTGAGCGTACGCGGACGCTAATAGCGAGAACGCCGTGACGGCGCTCCGCACGGTCGACTTGGACATGGACATCATGAAAACGCAGCGTCGTGAGGGGTCCGTAAGGTAGGGTCTTCGACCGAACGTGCGCGCCGTGAAAAGGACCGCTGGGGGAGGGCGGATGGAAGAGAAGGGCGGTCGGAGAGGCCACTAAATACGCAGGTGGGCGGATACTGTGCGGCCTGGGAGGCTGCCCTTCCCCGCAGCGACGCAGGAGACGGAGGGAGGTCCGATGGAGGATGCGCGGGCTGCGTCAAAGAGGTGGTTCCGCTAGAGCACACGAACAGCGAGCGGCACGGGCAGGAGCGCAGGAACCGAACAGTCGCCGCCGTCCGATCGATTCCAGAGTGTGTTCGGGTCCGCTGCGCGCAGACCGTAGCCTCTACCCACTCTGAAGGTATTCTTGCCCTTGGGTGCTGCTTGGACTTTGTCTTTGAGTTGCTTCCCAGGCGATTGGAGGACCGAGGAGCGGCAGAGCGTCGAGCAGCCTTGGAAGCGTCTGTGATCCTCGGTCGAGTGCTCGAGGCGGGGGAAAACACAACGTCATGTCCACTACGATGCATTTTTATGGTGTTATGACACGGCGAAAGTAGCCCACGCTGTCGTCAAATACAATGGCAGGAGTGACAGACTGCAGACTCGGAGATCTGTCGCTCAAGTTCCAACACATTAGACTTTCTGAAGGGCGCGATGCAAGCCGAGACGGGCGCTCCTCGGCATCATTGGCGCCAATCTCGTTCTGTCGCCCGATCTGTGCGTGCGCAAGAAACCTTATTCACTCGATCCTCCTCCCTCATCTCAGAGATTGATCTAACTCTGTGCAACATAGGCACATGGAAACAGCGGATGTCCGCATTTCGATTCCATACATGCGCCTGCAATGCACCTGGATGGAATTACGAGGTTCCAACCCGTAGAGCGCGTACAGAACCCGCTGCGGTCACATGGCCATATAGCCTCAGGCTCCCGTCACGTTTGTCCGGCCGCTGTCGGCAAGCCCTTGAGGACGTCCGGGGGAATACGCCTCTGTGGGTTTCTTCAGCTGGGAAAGATAACGAAGTGGCGGCCCAAACGCCGCACTTTCGCACCCGGTCTTCCCAGCTACGGCGAGCTCGCTGGGTTGCCCAGAGTATTGCACTAGAAGGCGGTCGGCGTGTGCACGCACAGGTGCCGGTCTTCCCGGAGAATGGAGGCGCATGCGGCATCTGTGCGGGTGACGAAGGCGCACAGGTCTTCGGAAGATCCAATACAGAGACGTGTGCCGTTGTTGTACATTGCAAGGAAGAAGGCGGATCCTCACCTGTAATCTGGGGGGTCTTGGTTTTATGAAAGGCTATGCTCCAGGATATGCTCCAGGATAGGCTTAAAAATGACGAAGAAGCGTGTGGTGTTTCGTGGAAAGGGGGGAACTACGTCTGCGCAAAGACCGCACGGTTTGTTTCCCTGACTCGATGAGGCTCGAGCTCGTCTCCGCAGCTCGCCCACCGGCGGACGCAAAAAATGCGGATCTAGCCGTACAAACCCTTACAATTTTCGTCCAGACTGGGCCGTTCACGAGCTTGTAGTACTCTAGATCCTGAGTACTTCTGTTGTGGAGGACTGCTTGTTGCGATTCCATCGCAAAGGCCGCTCTGAGACAAGTCACCGATTACGATCGGAAAGCACAGCTCTCCAGTCAAACTCTGACAGTTGGCACGCATGACGTAGGTTCGGAGGGAACTTTCCGCCGCCAAGGCACCAGAAAATAAGTCGCGATGACTTTGCGATGACGACACGATTATTATTGGTCAAGCATCTTGGTCAACCCGTAACTTCACATATATCCTTTCAAAACCGTACAGGGCCGCGATCAACACTGGAATGGATGACAAGGTTTAGGCAGAGCGTAGGCTTCAGGCAACAAAATGGAGTGCTACGGAAACCCGGCGTTACGAGGGTAATGTGTAAGCACGCTGAAAAATCGCTAGTGAGCGCTGAGCACCCA